TATTATTGTTGTTTATAATTTGTACAATTAACCTCCTTGTGGTTCGACCCCGGTCTTGCCGGGTTATTTATTACTTCGACACTCCTGCACTTGGGAGAAGACATCAATCTTTTGGTCGTGTCAACAACCCTTTATTGATCAAAAGAGTTAAATGATAAAAGACTATCATTAGGTAAATCTAATTAAGGCTACTCAATTAACTCCTGGCTCGATGATTGATTATCAAATTCTTCATGGCCATATAATTGGTCTTTATCAATTATTTTATTGATTGTTCATAAATTATTATTATGATATTTTATTAATTTATTTTTTAGCTGGTATGATGACATATTTATTGTTATATTAACAAATAAGTAGTACCAATATATTGGTCTTTGATAGTGTAATTTGTTAAAATAATTAAGTCTTACTAGACACTCTAATATATTAATCGGTTGTAACTTATGTCAATATAATTTGCTATATACTCTTATTCAAAATAAAACTTGGTTTTCTGATTAATAATGTGAACCTTTATTTTAATGATTGATTATCTTTTCCTAGTCGATCATGTATTTTTGCTCTCATAAACAATTATGACTTCTAATTTTACCACTTATTAACTTCCTTAGTTCATTTCAACTCCTTTTAAACATAGTTGATTTCATTATTGATGTTCAAGTTTAAGTTTTCTTTCAATGTTTAATAGTGAACAACTACTATTCTTACTTAATCGGTGTATGAATATTTATTATTGTGTAAATGCCCTAAAAATCAATTAAATATTATTTTTCTTTTTATTCAATTTTGATTTTTGATTTATGAATTTTTATGTGATAAACAAAATAATTTATATTGTGTTTTGTTGAAGATGGTAGTGTTGGTGATTTAAGGTTTCTGGTTTTTACATCTAAGATTTTAAGGATTTTTTGGGTTTATATATTTGGGGATTTTTTTTATGATTTGGTATAAAAAATTATTTATATTGGATTTTGTTTGAGGTGGCTATGTTTTGTGATAGCTAACTTGTTTATAATCGTTAGAGTTGGGTTGAAGAGAGGCAAGAAAAGAATAATGCTTTTAAGATTATATATATATAATCATTTTGGAATACAATTACTTTTACTAAGATTTTACACAAAAAAAGAGAGAGAGAGAGGCTAAATTGATGAACCACAAACCAAACGTTTGAGATGTCATAGATTTTACAACACGGGATAGGATTTTTTATATTTTAAAATCTTTTTAATATAATAATATTAAAAATTAAAAACTATTTTGATACATTTCCAAACAAAAAATATTTTTAAAAATAATTGTTACTACAATAACAAATAAACTTTAAATTAAAAAAAATAAAAATAAAAAGAAGGAATATGATATGGGGATAAATTTCTTTTATTAATTCATAATTTAATTAATCTAATCAAAACCTGTTAATTATTATTTTTATATTAAAATAAAAAAACAAAATTAATTTTGTTTTTTTTAATAAATAGAATTAATCTACCCAAAGCATGGTCTAAGCCTTGTCCTCGGTGAGGTTTAATAATCATGAATGGGACTCGAAAGATGGACACCCCGTAGAAATGACAGGATTTCCCCTTTCCTTCCCTTTTGAATTGAATTTTGCTCTCTACAACAGGAGGATGTCCCACAGAGTCTTGTTTCAGATAAATCAGGTGCGTTCCATGCCATAAAAACCATCAATTTTTATTCCTGTAATCCTGTGGATGGCTTGTGCTTCCTTCTTCCTTATCCTAAAAAAAGCAACAAAATAGTAGAAGAAACAGAGACTTCCTTGACACCAGCAAACATTCTTGAACAAGTTAAAGCACCAAACCCGGGAGAAGCAGTGAAGAACACAAAACCAAAAGAGCCTCTTCAAAGGGAAATGTTGCGGAATCCAGAAGTATTTCAGTCCTCCATTAAACTCCATCTTCCAATACCACCAACACACCCTTCACAGATCCAAAACATACCCAGTTCTCCATCATCTACCGTGATCAAGCAATGCTGCAAACTATCGCGACGAAAGCTTGCCATCTTTGGCAACTCTTCATTGCTTCTTCTTCTAAGCTCTCAAACCTTAGAGCCACTCAATATGTCCAAAGCAAAAGCCGAAGAAGCTTTGCCAGATGCCAACGAAAATGATCCACAAGAAGAAAATAATACAAGCACTAGACCAGAGTGCAGCAATAAAACTACAACAACTCGAGCATTTCTTGATGTATCAATTGATGGAGAACCTGTTGGCCGCATTGTTGTTGGACTATATGGAGGGGATGTCCCAGCTGGAGCTGCTAGGTTTAGCGATCTTGTAAGAGGAGCTGCTGGTGTTAGTTACAGAAGAAAAGAATTCATCAAAATCACGCCAAACTATGTGCAGCATGGTGGGGTAAGGTCATATGGTGTGGATGCTGAGCTTGCGCAGAGAACGGGAAGCAACTTGGCAGCGGAAAGTCTAGTAGATGAATGGGAGAGGGAGTATGAAACCTGTCCAGGTATCAAGAATCTGGCTGGAACTGTAAGCATCATTGTAAGGGATCCTTCTAAACCGCCTCCAAAGTTGAAGTTGGTCGCAAGGAAAGGAAAGCTTGAGATCGATCAAGAGGAAGTTGGGACTGACCCCAACGGTACGGAGTTTGTGATAGCCACTAAGGATTCACCAGAGCTGGATGCCTCGTCTCTGGTAGTTGGAAGAGTATTGGAAGGGTTGGAGGTTGTAGAGAAGATTGGACAGGTGAAGACCGTGCAGGAGAATACCAGATCTCCTTATTTCAGGTGAGTTAACGAATCTGCAGGAGAAAGCAAATAGTATATACCTCAATCTAAGCTGATGATAACGTAGCATTGCATCAATCATTGACAGTAATAGTTATTTTGTTTGGTGAGCAGAGTTGCAAAGCTGATAGGGGACAAGAGAGCTGTGGTTGCAGAAAGAGGCTTTAACCGACCGTATTCTAAAGTGGTGGTCACTAATTGCGGCTTGGAGTAACACCAAATGTTAGTTGCATCCCTTTTTCTGTTGATTTATTTTTTAAATGATGGGATCACAAATTTTGTGAGAAAAAAACTCTATTGCTATTCCTCACAACAATCTCATTATATCTCTGAAAGCACTTCCACACCCTGCAAAACTGATCAGCTGAACCTGCTGCTTCAGCTTGATCCACTAGTAGGCTTCGTTCTTTTTATAGGAGACATGAAAAGCTTTCCTACTGAAGCAAAGGGATCATCCACCTATTAAATCACAAATTTTGAGCAATCATCCATCAAAGATAAAAATTACAGAACAAGGCTGTTCAACCAAAATAAACCCCAGCTATTAGTGTCATTGATTCTGGCAACATCTACAAGATGGAGGGACCGAGACAGAATCATCACTTCCCTCCATATGTAGTCTTCATTACAAACATCAATATTCCCCAAGTATTTACAAGTATCTCACACACCACTCTAGTTGATTTCAGTTGTCTAAAACCTGACATTGGCTTTATGATGATGTCAATTTTAATTAAAAAGATATCACTGATTTGGTGGATGCACAAAAGTTTGTAAAAGAACCCTGAAAGGTCACTAAACGTAGTTAGCACAACAGTGCTTCACCAAAAGGGATGTAGGGTTTCTCATGACCTTCATCAGGAAGGAAGATGGAGGAGAATTTGCAGCAGGAGGAGAAAACTCTTTCTGACGCTGTAAAGCAGTTGTGTTTGTTGCCAACCAGGTGCCCTGCTGCTTGTTGATACAATCCAGGTGCCAAAATGTCTACGCTGTCTGATTGGATTAAATCCCAATGTTTTGTCTAATGCCAGTTGCTTAGGATCCTTTTCTGGAACATGAAGGCATCATGGTTAATTAACATCTTTCATGATTAAATGAAAATTAGAAAATAATAGCACTTGAATGTTGACTGCAACCTCTGCAGATGCATAGTGGGAAAACGTATTCTTCAAATGACAAGCTACATGTCAAAAACTTAAATAAAAGATCTGGACAGAATTTTATATGCCAATATTCCATTCATTTGGAAAATGCTTCTATAAATCCAAGGTGTGATGAATGTTCAATCAACTTCATATGAGAGTCAAAGAACAAGAAGGCTACCTGTACTGTAGGCCACAACTTCACTGTTCACTCGAACCTGCACTCCACCTGTGGTGCCTTCGCCTTTTTCTTGAGCATCTCTAGTGTTTTGGATATCAGAACAAGTTTGACTTTTCCTCCTATCTATCTGACAGGCAACATTTTTACTGCCTGAGATATCTGCTCCGGGAATTTGTTGGCCATCATGATTGATATATGAAATGATCAACATTTTTACTGCCTGAGATATCTGCTCCTGGAATTTGTTGTCCATCATGATATTGATATATGAAATGATCATCTCTGAGGAGTTACTTTCACTTCTCTTTCCATTTCCGACAGGGACAATAGCATCTGACCAAGAAACTTGAGATGTGCTAACTTGATTACCTCGTAAAGCCCCCACTACCGAACCAAGCAATTCAATATTGTTTTCATTTTAAGGAGCTGATCAGTTGTATCGTAACCATGCACTGTGTTTCTTGGACTCTGTGTCGAACATTGCACAGAGAAGTTGGTTCTGTAGTGGTATCTGTCCTTTCTAAAGAAATCTGGGAGTTACTCTCTTTTCTAAATGCAACACCTTCGCTTCTTTCAAAGTTCAAACAAGAAGATTGGTTGCCTCTTGCATAAGTACACTGCCCCTGCCCTGCCCTGATCATGATTATTGCTCTTCAACAGACCCACAGCTTCATGCTGACTTCACCAAAATTCTGTTCTGCAGATTCCCTTTCTTCTGAAGTTAGATTATTGTTTTCAGATCCAGATCGAGTAATTTCTTGGTTATCACATATACGATCCCTAAAATCAGAATCATAAGAAAGCCTGGCCCTTAAATTCAGGCCAATAACAAGCAATGAGATTGTTGCTTTGAAGTTCTGTTTTGTGGGGAGTGGACCCCCAACAATCGTCACACTTGAATCTGATGGTCTATGCATGGAAGACAAAGCACCATTTGAGGCAGAGTCTCCAATGACTCCCCTGCTGCCCGAATGATTTTCGTTAGCTGAATCTTGTCCTGAATTACTGTCACTATGACTTCAGTATATCCGACCATTCTAAACAACTCTAATGGCTGTGGAACCATAGAAAAAGTCCGTAACCCCACACTTGCCCCACAGAGCTTGCAATCTAAAACAACAGCATTAGGATCAGCATCGCCCACTACAAGAGCCAGATTCTTCATTTGCCTCCACACTTTGCTCAGAAGCAACATAATGGAATCGGATACTTGGATTCTGCCCATTAATGACCATATGGTATGAATCCCTGACATCCGAATCCTTAACAAGCTGTGTAGATCTGTCCTTGCAGTCAACAACGTAAGGCAGTGCACGTGGTTCCCAGCCACATAAACTGACGAGTTTTTGTGCCTGCAAATGCTTGAGATTGCCATTACTCTTATCAAAACTCCAGAACAGGGAAAACTACCATCAACAAATTGATCATGAACACATGGCAAAGTAAATTATCTCTTGTACTGGTCATTGTTTGGCACACATTGCATATTCTTGTGAGCATAGAACCTACAAACACGGTGCAATTAACATACTGAAAAGAAAAGATAGTATTAACAAAAAGTCTTATGGCCCTACATATGCTTAAAGCTAAAATTATTCTTACACTTCACCAACAAATCTAGCACGAGGAAAACAGCCATTGACATATTGTGTGAATGTATAGAAACTATTTCATGCATCTAATCATTGTTTAGCTTTAAGCATATATGAAAAAAAGATTAATGCAAATATGAAAACCACACCCACACCCACACCCACACAATATATATATATATATATAAAGAGAGAGGTGATGCAGGAATACTATATTAATGTAAGCGCTGAGGCAGTGCCATAAATTTATAAAACAAGCGAAAGCATTGCACAGCAAAAGAGGTAAATACAAATTCAGTAATATATAAGAAGAAGAAAAAAGTCCCTCACAGTAAATCAGAAGCATAAGGTTTCCTAGTTCAGGATGATGTTAAGGGCTTCTACTATCAGAGCTAGCTTTCATTATGTTTCAAGATGGTATAACAGGCTTGTACGTGAAGATTTTACTTGGCCTCACGTTAGCGAATTACCACCTACAGAACTGAGTGAGGGAGGAATATAAAATACACCGAAGAGGAAGCCCCATCGTTCAACAAAAAGTTGCTTTGGAGATTGGATTCCACGTATTGGAATGGTTAAATCATCTGGAGATGAACACATTCCTCAAAAAACCCATCCATACGTATGCACAAAGTCAGCTGCAAGAAGAGAAATTGAAAGTAAACGAACCTTGGGCTTAGCGAACCAGGTCATTGACTTAAAAGTGGCAAGCCTCCTCATAAGATCTCCTCTGTCCCAGGGCCTGAGGTTCAGGTGAAGAAACATGCCCAACACTCACTCTTGTTTTACCAATTGGTTCAACTAGTGATAAAGCAGACTCATAAAGATGGCTTCGTTTTATTCCTCTTGATATTTGTAAAGCTCCAGATGAACTATCAAATCAATCCATAAAAAAAAAAAAAAAACACTTCTGAAAACTTGGTGCAAAGGAAAAAAGCAAATTGTTTTCTCTTTGTTAATTTATTCATTTTGAACTATGATCTGTAATTTATTTGAGTTGTGAAATAAAATCTTTAGGACATCAATTTTAAAAAGGAAAGATCAACAAGATTGAGAGCCGAAATGGCTTTCTTGCCCCATGATGTTGTTGTCATCACCAACCTTGTAAAATCCCCCAAGTAAAGGCCAAATTAGGTCTCCCAACCTCCATAATTTGAGATCTATGATGCACATAGAAATTCCTCTTTGAAGATCACTGAAAAAATTAATCTAGCATTGTTTCATAGAACATGTCTAATTTGCTAGCCTGTTTTGGTTTCTTGGTTAGAGTTATTTGGATTTTATCTTATTTTATTTTTCAAATAGATGTTCAAAGGATAATAATGCATAATTAAAATATATAATATATCAATTTTAATGAAATCCAATTTGTGGTTTTGTTTTTATAAGGAAAAAAATAATATGAAACTTTTTGTTTCTTTTTAAATCTCTTTTATTTATGATAATTCTCTTTTTCTCTCTCATTAAGTATGAGAACAATGGTTACTTTTCAAGTCCGTTAAATAAAACAATTATTATATATAAGATATTACTACTATAATATTTATTGAATTCTGGAACATGGTTGATTGAGCTTTTATCTTGTTGTGGACAAATAATAATTAATTAGTTTGTGAAAGGTTTACTTAGCTTTATATCGAACATGGTTAATTTAAATCTTTAATTGGATTTGATTTACTTAGTTTGTGGAAGGTATTGTTTATATCATTACTTTATAAATTGTTTCTACTAAATGATTTTGACTATATTATATAGGTTTTTTATATTTTAAACTACCTATTATAAACACATCATGATGCGAGTAGAATTTCAAGTTAATTTCAAATATAAGAGAAGAAGGCACTGATACTATGAATTTGTTTTTTTGATAGTATGAAATTTGTTAGCTTAGACATATAAAAATGATATTCAAACTTAATATCATAAATTGAAAAAAAAAAAAGTTAATTAAATATGAAAGTGAGAAGATAATTTTTTTCAACAAGAAATAAAAGATACATACAAATATAAATATTTTACCTTGGTTTTCCTTTTTATTTTGTACATTTTCTTTTATTTACTATGGTTACTAAGTACATATGATTTTCATTCTAATAAATGTATAATGCAAATAAAATTGTTCTATCTTAAATTTAACAAGAAAAAAAGAAGTAAAGATTAATTAAGAGGTATTATGAAACTATAAAAAAATAAAAAATAAAGATTTATTACTATTTAAAAATAGTTAAAATAAACAAATTAAAATAAATAAAATATAAGATATTAATTAAAAATAAAATTTTAAAAATTAAACTAATAAAAAATTAAAAAAAAAGAAGAAGTTAAGAGTTGCTAGTTTTGAAAGGTCAAACCTACAAGTCTAATTCGAAAGAAAAAAAAAGTCTAAATGCTTATGAATCTCTTTTACTTTCTTAAAAAAAGTGTGTACATCACAAGTTATCTGTTTATTCTTTCTAAAATAACTGATCAAATAACTTGTCGTTCTTTTAGGTAAATAATGTGTCATCAGCTATCATATTTTCTAGGCACCTTTTAATGATTAGAAAAATAGGATTTAAATCTTTGAACGTGAAAAACCTAACTCTTAACTTGTTTTTTATTTGGAAAAATCCTAAAAACAATCTAAGAACCTCAATAAACTTATTTCCAACCTCAAAACATTATCTAATCACTCTAAAAAAATCCAACCAAATAAAAAATAATTATAGGGGCTCCAACCTATTTTTTACAGACATGTTTAAAGAGCAATACAACCTCAACTAAACTCTATTCATCAAGAAGAATTCATTATGAAGATTACTTTTTTTAATGGTTGGAATAAGATTGAACAAACCATTTCTCTCCTTTTATTTTATTCTGATGACTTTCTCCCTTATTCAATAATGATTAAGAATTGAAGTGTAAACAAAATCAAGTTTAAGACTAAAACATGTTTTTTTTAAGAAAAAAATGACCATATTTACAAAATAAAAAAAATGAAATTAAAAGACCAAACTTGACATGTGAGTGTTCTTTAATGGTCCTATTAATGTTAGATTACTTGAGTTCGGGTTGGCAATGCAAATGAAAAAATTTCTTGATGTTGTTTGCTATCAATGATTAGTATTTAAAAGTGTATTTTTTATCAATATTTTATATCATCATTTTGCACTTGAAGTATCAATAACTCCTTAATTAAAACATGTTTTATAATAACATATCTAATAATATAAGATACCTTTAATTTATGGTAAATATTTATTTTAAATTCAGGCCTATCACATAAATGAAAGGATTGATTGATGAATTTAAGAATTGAAATTAAAAGGACAAATAGATGGCTAAACTTAGAAAAGAGATGTCAGTGTAGTCCAAACCAGAATACTACTCGATAATTGGGTCATATCTGGAGCTATAGATCTCGGATTTAG